ATTGATTTAATTTTTTTTATCAAAAAAGTTGTGTTTACGGCCAGTATTTTTGTCTGTTTTTTTACATGTGATTGTGTTATGTGAAACGAGCGCATACCGCATTGCAGCGGCATCATATTGACCCGTTGCCTTTCCTAGAATCTCATTCAGGTTAGCCAAAGCTAACACATGCAATTATTGACCATTACCCCACTAAAATTTAAATAATGTAGGAATCTAAAAATTTCCTGAATTTTATTATCTCTGTTGACCTCTTACATCATCTCTGCTTTATGTTACATCTTAAATATATCTCATCTTAAGTTCAAGCGCGTACTCTTGTAATCCAACTTTCACTCTCGCATATACTTTCTTGAGTGAGATTTATGATTTGGTTCGCTAATTTTTCTAGCTGTTACCGTTTATAGTTGTTACGTAGAACAAGTGTATCATGTAATACATGGTGATGTACTTGTAAATGTATAACAATGTGTATGCAAATATCACATTTTCCAAGCAATGCTTTTCAGATAATCATTTTGAGACTATATGATCCATTTATTAACGTATTTGATAAGCAGTATAAGGTATTTCCGAATGGAAGAGGCCTATGTCCAACTTGGACACACAGATAATAAATAACAAATGAAATAAAACAAAACAAAAAAAAGGATAATAAAATTAATATAAATATAATGTATCAATATTCAACTCAATTTATGTAATGTGACACTAACTTAATTATCTGAATAAAAGCTTATTATTATTATTATAAGATATTTAGATTTACTTAATCAAAACTAAATTTATGTCAAGGATGCAACAGTTAAATTATTTAGACTTTTCACTAACAAATAATTAAAGGTCACTGTAATAGTAATTACTGTTAACTCTTACTGTTATATTTCCGTAGTAACATTTACTCGTATCGTTAACACCATGAATGAATGTCTAATTATATTTAGACGAACCTCATGGCCGTTGTTACGTAATGTGTTTTGTAAATATCCATTACAAGTAAATTACATCGATGTATATGTAAAAACCCATTTGAATTTAATAAGAAAACACTTTACAATTTTGTACTCTGGAACCTAAAGATAAAATCAAAAATGCATAGAACTGACGTTGGGTAAATTAATGGCAGCTCTGTAAATGTGAGGCTATTCTATTCGTGAACTTTCTACCTTCTTTTGATGTCCAACATTGATATTGTTTCAAGTAGAATGTGATGACAATTATTTGGTTTCTTAAAGAAATGTCATAGTTGGTGAGTAAGATCAGCCACCCCCGAGCGAGTGCGGTCTCACTCCAATTACAGCAGAATTCCGAGTGCACTTTCACTGGAGGCCGGACTGCTTTCTTGTTTAATGGCTGGAGAGTAGGCTGACAGCGGAGTGGCTGCGCCGGCGCCGGACTGCGGTGCTCTAGCCATTCATGCGTTTTGTTATACTTACCCTAATTGTTTACTTGAACGAGAAATTTTCATCTGTCTAAAGATTTTACGACTTATTTCACTTTATTCGAGTTTTTTGTACTGTATCATTTTACTAATCTTACTAATATTATAAATGCGAAAGTTTAGATGGATGGATGGATGGATGTTTGTTAGCGTTTGTAGCCTAAACGGCTGAACGGATCTCCATGAAATTTGGCACAGGTTTAGAGCATAGTCTGGAAGAACACATAGGTTACTTTTTATCCCGGGAATAGTTACGGTTCCCGTGGGATTCATTAATTTAGTTTTATAATGTTCACTAGATCATTCTGCAACGGTTCAACATATCTTACTGAAATTTGGCACAGATATAAAACATAGTCTGGAGTACACGTGGGATAAGGTTCATCCCAGAGAAATGTCTGGTTCCCGAGGGATACGTAGTTTTTTGTAATTTATATAGTTTGTATGTTTTCGAATACCACGCGGACGAAGTTGCGGGCAACAGCTCGTCTTTAATAAAATCTAACTTTTACGACAGCAGCAATTTACGTAATTAACCAAATTACGTGTATCACTTCATAACCTTTAACGTAACCCTAAACTTGTGACGTCCCCTCGTAACTAATATACGACGTCTCTTTAAAAATACTTCTATTTTTATCCTTGCTTCCTCCCGTCGACCGCGTTCTGTCATCGCAACTGTCGCATGTCGAGTGACACTCCCTCATGTCTCAGATTCGAAGCCATAAGATCAAATTATCGGTCAACCTTACAACAAAAGTAATAAGAGCGAAAATTCTCTGGGATAGGAAGTTATTTTTGACACGATGGTTCTAAGGATTGTAGGAACTCTTTTGAATATCTATATTTACTATTATTAAAGAAAAAATTTTTGGAAGAAAAATATTTTAGAAGTTCGACATATACAGAAAGAGACGTCATGAAAAACATTTTGGCCCACGTAACAATTGTAATGTTTTTTGGTATAAACGTAGGTGTAGTTTAATAACGTAGCGTTTAAAAAAACAATGAAGACGTATACAAACAACGCAGTGAGTCAGACAAAATACAATTAGTAGAGAAGACCTCTCGTCGTGACCTCGACATTAATTTGTCGAGTTTAAATAAAATCTTTTTTTCTGACTCACGTCTCGCTGTGTCGTCCACAATACAGCTAGATAGGAATACTGAGTTATGTCAAATTTACTTATCCCATTGCCGAAATATGAACTATATTGTTGTCTCTGTATTCTGAAGAGAACTATCTTGAGAATGAGAGCTATAGCAATATATCTACACAGTATAAGCTCACAGTGAAGATATCGTTCTGTTTACTGTCTTACTTCTCTTCTATCTTCTACGCCTACAAGACATCTACATTCCTGAATAATCGACGTTTATTGGTAGTTGCTAACACCTCTAGATTGTTATTAATCATTTAAGCATTTACCTTCTTCCGGACAGCTCTTGTTGCTTTGTGCATGCTTAATGTCAGCTGTCGTTCTAACCTTGTTTGAAGCGCATCGACCCCTTGCGCTTTCGTTTATGTAATGCGGTTCATTGACTCGCAACCATTCGGCCATTTTGCCTACCCCATGCTTGTAGTCTCTTGTGATCTTAAGACTTAAACTTCTGAATTAACTACATTTAATAGAGGATAGTATGTTTAAATATCTGATATTTCATCTTTTGAACCTCTGCTCGGGTTATTGAACTATTCTTTATGTTTCTTGCTCTCTGACATTAGTTTTATCGGCTCATCTATTTCTCAGCTTTTATAATATCCATTAAGAACCATTCTGTTTCGAATATAAGAAATGGATGGAGTGTTTTAAAGAAATTTCCAGCTAATAAAACAAGTGACACTCGGAAGCCTTAGAGCGCTGGCGGAGGTCGCGGGGGGATAAGCGCCACATCTCGGTCAAGGGCTCTCCATACACCTCATACAACTTGCCCTGGAGCGTACTCGGATAATCATATAATTATTGATGTTTTATTGTACCACAAAAGACTGAACTCAGAAAAATTGCGTCGGAGGAGAAAGAACCTAGTGCCTCCAGGACTTTTTGTTTCATACGTTGTACAAAAACAACGAATCATACAAATGTGAAATTTAATTAAAATCGTGTACCGGGCGAGTTAACAAGGATGTAGAATCTAGAATTTAACACAGTCACTAGCCAACTGGAATTAGACTTAAATTATGAGAGTTTAAAGACGTTAATATCAATACATACTCTGTTACTAACACAAAGCGTTGAAATAGGGCAGTAAGATGTTGATAGCGCTAAAGTGTTGATTTACCGGCTGCGATACATTACAACGCGATGGCTCCTATACATTCTACATAACATCCGGATTCCTAGCATCAAATACCGCTTCAGTCTGGTATATTTCGGTATGTAACAAGTTAACCTAATACACAAGTAAAATATTATGTTTTCTTTCTCAGTTACATTAATTAAAATTAGAATTATTTTAAGTATCTTGCAATCTGTACTGGATAAAATTTGATTTCATTCATAAAAAGCTCAACGTAAAGATAAAAATTTCTACGTCAAAAGCCGATGTAAAAATCCTTTTAAAACGTCTTTGGTCACGTACTGGCACGATTCCAGCTCCTGTGAAATAACCGTACAGATCCCGGAACTATATTAATACGTAGGCAATAAATAGATACGTAACTTTGCTTTAAAAAACAAACAAAATCAGGAACGAAACGGTCATTTGTTTATGTGACTGATGGTTCCGTTTGTTATTTTGATAGAATATTTTTTTGAAATAACAAGGATGTAAAAGGTATTAAATCTATTAATTTGTAAGAGTATTAATTTGTAAAGGTATCAATTTGTAAGAGTCGAAATAGTTCACTATTTAATCTAGAAATTGCATAAACATTTCTTACTATAACACGTGCAGAAATCTATGTAACCTTGTGCTAGTAACCCGTTTCTTATCTCGAGTTGTATAAACAAGATGATGTTAAAAGGCAAGAGATTCCATTACGTTTGCCCTTTTTTACGACATGTTATGTACTTTCCAACGCTTACGATATATAAATGACAAATATTCCACACCTTTTTGAATTTCGATCTTCCAATATCTTGATTCACAACATCGCTTTGTTTAATAAAAGCTATAGCCCTCGTAGATTCTAAATCTGTAGTTATGAATATTTCTGACCTATTTCGTGGCATGGGAGGTGTGGACTATATTTCTCCCCATTTGTTTATTCCTCATGCGAACTAACGATAGATTTACGATACAAACTTTTGCATTTTCGAAGAGTTTTATAAATAGTTTAGTTAAAAATGCAATGGTTTAAAAAATACAGGAATAATATTTTTGTGCATTTTTGAGTGTTTTAGTGTTATGCTAGTGTCACACGAGGGCAGAACATTATAGCAATGCAATTTTTGTTTAACTAATAGCAATACTGTACAAAACTTCTGGTATCGTGTGAAACTAGTATCAGTTGTTTGCAATGACATAAACGGAGCATAATCCAACGCAAAACCTAAAAATATCGTCGCAACTGCCATAAATGATAGTATTACTTAAATATCTTACAATCTTTTAGCTTTATCACACGGTTTTATACGATGTCATAATAAACAAACGTTAAAAGTTTAAAAAAATGAGTGCGCGGGACTTCTACAAAGTGTACCGGAACAGATCAGATAGACATAGTAATAGAGGGTATCTCGACAACGATACGGAATGTAATGCGAACCATTATAAGCTATTTGATGACTTTAGTACGGATCTAAGGTTAAATTTCAACACAATAAGCAGTGTGTTCCATGAAGTGACGAGATGCAGACGAGGTGATCCCAATGATTCCGGTATTGATGTGGAGAACGGGAACCCAATCGATACATCTCATGATAAAGATTTGGTAAGTATAATAACGATGCTTTGTTTAAAAATTGGATTTTATATTTAAATCAGTATGATGTAGCGAGATTTTTCTAGAAAAAAACATTTGATTTCATATCTCTAGTTGAATTTATTTAACATACATATTGTATATAGCTGCACTGTTAATGTTTTGTTCTTTAAATCCAGAAAAAAAAACCACAATCATGTTAATTAGAATCGCATCACAATTTTATAAAATAGTTATGTAAGAAATGTAGGATTCATTTTTATTTTAAAATAACACTACTTTTAAACAATAACAGTTGTACTGTAACCCTACAACATACTTTATAATTTTCTATGTAAATTGAAAAATATAACTACAACGTAGACAATAGAGATTTTAATATATGATATTCTCTACTAGAAAGTTCTCTTGAAACAGAATTGTATCACGTCAGCTCTTGGCGCAGCGCCAGAAACTGAGTATAAATATAAAATTCCTTATTTAGAGAAGTTTTTCAAATTATAAACCAATCTCAAAGTAGTGCAGCATACTTTGGAGAAATCTTTATGTGTATTGAGTCAGCTCTAAGTGTGTAAACTAGATATATTGGTACATTGCCAGAATTCAAAATTAATTTATATTGTCTTTAGAATACGAGTTCTATTTAAAAATGTTGGAAAGATAATGAAAAAATGAGAGTAAGTGATTGAGTGTACGTTAAACTATTCTAATAGTATTTTTAAGTGTTCCCCTTAGTGTTGATTCAGGCTAATGGTATTTTAGTTACTGTTAGTTTCTTATATAACTTCGATTAATCTTGGTAATAAATTAATTCCTTTGACTTGAGTAAGTTTTAAACGAATCAATTTAATTAAAAACAAAGCAAAGCAACTAAGCGTTTCGATAGAGCATTGTGTATTGGTCAGTAAGGCAGCGGACATTGTTTGTCGACTGGCATTGTCACATGCTAATACTTCCTGCGATACTTTTCTCTTTGTTTGAACTTGACTGTTAAATATGTCCAGTCTGTAAGATTATTACAAACTGTATTTATGTAAGACGATGTAACAAATACGTGTTAAGAGATAAAGAAACTCGAAAACTTCATCATATTACTTGTGTGACGGCTAAAAAAATTAAAATTGCGTTAAATTTTGATGTCTGATTGTAAGCGGTTCTTGCGAAGTTACATGATCAAGACTTGTTGATCGGACGCACACCTTTGACTAAACTATCGCACAGCTGTTGTGCGATTGTCGTTTGTTTCGTAGACCATTCAACAGTTCAGCAACTACCAAAAATCGAGAAGTACACCTCCATATAAGCTCATAGGAATCAAAGCAGTTTTTTTTTTTACAACATAAGGTGGTAAACGAGCACGCGTCCACCTGAATCCGCCAAAATGGCGAAGCGACCGCTGCCCATAGACATCCGCAATTGCAGATGCGTTGCCTACCCTTATCCGACGGAGGAGGAGACGTACATAAAGAGGATATTTCCCCTTACTATGCATCTCCTCCACCGGCAAATCCACTTCCTCTACCCATCCTCTCCTTATAAGAAAAGGGTGGTAAAGAGAAAGGGACTAAAATTAGGCCTCCGGCACCACACTCATCAAACGAAACACGGAATTGCTTTCATTTCACGCCTGTCTTCTGTGTACTCGCGATATTACACCGGGCGTGCCGGCCCATTCGTGCTAAGATGTTACAGCGGGCACTACCACTGTTAGATGGTGTGATAGTTTAGTCAAAGTTGTGCACGCGCTCTTAATATGGCTGTTATTCTTTTGTTAAGTACAGACTGATTATGTTAACTTTAAATGTCTAAATTTATTGTACCAACTCGTGCAATCTACAGTATGTTTTGTCTATGACAAAAGTATTCCGACCTTAGAGACGTCGATGCCAAGGTACCAAAGTTAATTTTATGACAGAAATCGTAATTACGAATCGAATGAAATTCTTTTTCATTTTTTTACAATATCAATCAATTTAAGAATATTATTTTAACCGACTTCAAAAAAGAGAAGGTTCTCAATTCGTTTGCATTTTTATTTACTCGCTTATTGTTTTCTAAACAACGTTGTTGGAGAGAAATTCAGTTCTGTTCAGTTTTTTGTTTATGGCACTCCCTTAGCGGATTGGGCAAGTATCATGAGATCCATTGAGTTAATTGAAGTGTGTCATAATTAATTAAAGAAAAAGCAAAGTCAAGGTTCTTTAAGATTCACTGATCATTTTTGTAGCCACGTTTATAAGACTTATTCAACGTCCAGCGGAATTTATTTTTTTATTCTCCAAACATTCTCTTTACTTAATGATTCTGGGTTTCTGTTTTATGTTTATGGTATACTAGCTGTTCCCATGCGGCTTCATCCGCAGGTAATTATAAAAACTTTATTTTGTCGTTTATATTTGTCAAATTATCAATTGCAAATGTCAAAATGACATTACATGATGACAACCTTGCTTCCTTGATGTTGGTAGCAACTTATGGTCTCTTTCCTATATTAGGGATTTTATCCAACATATTTATCCCCTAAGTTTAATGGCGTGAAAATGTATAGCGTAAAGCTTGACGTAAGTGTAGAGCTTTTAATTAAAAAAAGGATTATTCAAAAATATGCTGTAATTGCTGACGTCTTAGGCAACAAAGAAGTGTGTGTTTACGCTTTATTGTAATAGTATCAGATCAATAATATTTTTTCGTATCTCTCCCGGATAACTACTGATGTTTAGTTGTACTCTACAAATGCCTGAGATAACCTTTGTCTTATTGACTGGATCTTTGCCAATAGGAAAAATGCGTCACATCTCTAAGATAAATTGTGGTTGGTCTAAGAGTAACCTGATACTCACGCGGAAGATGTTATAGATATCGCATTTGTATTAATTGTCAAACAGTGGGTTTCCATTGTGGTCATATTTCTATAGAAGTATATTGATATCCCGCTTACTGTCTTGAAATTAGAGTGACAAGGAAAATAACCATTATATTAATGTTCTATAATGTTAATCGCTAGATGAGGTACAGTTATGAAAGAAAGTGTCAACGGAGACGGATGAGCAGCAACCTTAATGACTACCCACATTCCAGTTTATATCACAAACCTCAGTAGAAAGTTAACATTAACTTTATTGCGGTTAATAGTATGTCAGTTATAACTTTTACAGCAAAAAAAAACTGACCAAGCTGACTGACTTTTTTCAACTAACAACTTAGTATAATGCGATTTTAACTGAAAATAGCACAATTTAATGTCAAAAGTCCTTACGATTATCGGGAAGTTTCAAATAAAAAATTAGCTAAAAATCTATTTATTTAGGAAAATTAATAGGACATATGAAGACAATGTTTTTTATTGACATAGAATTTATGTCAGCGGAAGTTTTACGCAAATAAAGTAGCCGCTTCTATACGCATTCTTCAGATGCAAAATAATTACAAATCACTCGGCTTGAATTTCCTTTGAACAGATGAATGACATGCATTATTACACAGATAATGAATTTATTCGAAACATTTAGTATTCTATGCATACATTTGACTTTAACACTTCCAGTGCCTTCGAAAGCCAAGCTTGTACAATAAAATATATGCGATAAAAAAGAAGACATTTTAAAAATTGCAATAGCATGTAATGGGTTAGACGATAGATCTTAAATCTTTCTGATAATATCTGAATCACAGTTTGCACTGTCTACATACACGTAATCGTATATTGTGTTTTGCATTCAAGTGACGTTATGAACGGTCGTGAGTCGCCTGCTAATGCTGTATAAATGGTACCGTTTAAACAATTTATAACTCACTTATTACTCATCACTAAAATTTGAATCTGTAAACGTTTTCCGTTTACTTTAGTCCATAAATTCATTTATTTTCGTCATTAATATTTTGTGTACAACAGTGCTTGAATAGTTGACATCGAGTTTTCTAAGTTATGTTCATGAGTTGCGAGGATCAATCCAACAATAGATTTCCATTTGAAAATTATTTAAATACTGAAAATACCAAGACTTGAGCCTATAGCATTATGTCGTTAAAGAGTTCTATGCATATGTTTTAAGGTTTCAACTAAGTGATGATGATTTTGCCGTTATGTCTTTTTAATAGGTAGAAAATTTTTTTTTAATTTTGGTAAAAACATTTTTTTCAAAACCACAATACTTTTACTACTCCTAAATATTAAAGAACTTCCTGCTATATGGCTAAAACAAAATGTATAAATTAACCCTCTCATGTCGTTTATCTCTTCAACATCTTAACCGGTATTTGATTGGTCTGTAAATAAACGCCAGTAAACATACAAGTAGTTCAGCTTCCACAAATAACGTGCTAGCCTCAGCTTTCTTGCCAAATGACCTTGACCACGTGGGTTACCCGTTTAACTTCGATTCGCGTGAACCGAAACAATTTTAATCAACGACAATTTATTTTAAAGCAAGATAAGTTAGCACTTAAAGTAATTATAAGTGTTTGTCAATTATTTTAATCTTTTTTTTTATTTTCAGCTTGTTAGAACAATCTTCAAATCTTATTTATTTGATTGTAACTTCCATTTATTTTTTTAATTGGTATTTTTTACATAATTCAATGTGTTACTTTTATTCTTCTGTCTAGTTATTCAAAGTTACTTGTCTTCATTTAAGGATATTTCGTGCGTGAAATAATAACTTGCTTTGAATAAGATCGAAACTAGTTTGCCTTATCAATTATTTCGAATAAATATTGGGTTATTCAATTTGGTTTTTCTTGTTTCAGTTGGAGAACGAAGTGATGGTAGATCCTTGGAGCAGCATGGACTCTTCTAACTCCCCATTGACTGATTCCGGACCATCCGCCAGCGAAGACTGCACACCTTCCACATCGAGCGAAACCCCGCGAGGTCATCCGCACTCCTCCAGCCCGCTCTCACCCGACGCGCGTCGCCTGCCGGACACTAAAGACGCTAATTCTAGAAATGTAACAAAATATCCTTCCAAAGGAACTGACAAGACACGCGCTCGGGATCTCACTTTAGAGCTGGAAACTCTAGAATCCGACACTCTTCCGCGCCGGCCACATTTTTTAGATGACGACTACCAACCACCGTCACGATCTAACATCGAGTGTCGTATCCCTAAACCACATTTTTTGGACCATTCGCCATCACCCGACGAATTTGATGAGCGGAGCGACATAACAAACCCAAACTTTTTAGATGACGAAATCGATGGCGACGATGGCCATGCACAAAAGAAATCCGGGGCATTACCAAAACGGCCGATGAAACCGCAGTCTTCCACTTCCACATATACCCCTCAAGATGACCGACCCCATAGGACAAATTATAGAACCACATTGCATTATGGATTAGAAAGCGCAGCCAGATCAAGCGAACGAGACAAACGGGCTTCCCAGCTATATAGAGGTACCTGGCCTGGGGAGAGGGACGTCTGGACAGGCCAGGACTCTTCTAGTGTCAGAAGTTTTTCAAGTAACGGCTCAAATAACTGCTCCAGACCCTCCTCAAATTTAGAAAATAAAATGGAATGCGTATGTTCCTTGATATCCCTACTTAGTTTGTCGCCTGAAAATAATGCAGATCTTAGTGGCCCGCTCCTAGAAATGAGTAGGTCAGTTGAAAGTTGCATAGCGATGCGACAAGCTGGATGTATACCCTTACTAGTACAGCTAATACACTCGAAAGTACCGAGAGAGACTCGCGACCGCGCCGCTAAGGCCCTGCGAAACATTATCCACACCCAAACTGATGACAAAGCGGGGAGAAGAGAAGCGAGAGTGTGGAGATTGCTCGAACAAGTCCGAGAATATTGTTACGTGTTAGAAGATTTAGTAGACGCGAGGAAAGAAGATAAAGAAGCAATAGAAGACGATGCCACTAAACATCCCAGTCAAAGCGTTGCTGCGCTTATGAAGCTGTCGTTTGATGAAGAACATAGACACGTGGTGTGCCAGCTGGGCGGGCTGCAGGCGCTGGCGGCGCTGGTCAGCGGCGACCAGGCGGCGCACGGCAGCAGAACTGACGACAACACCTGTCTCACCATGAGAAAGTACGCCGGCATGACTCTCACCAATTTAACGTTCGGAGACGGCAATAACAAGTCATTGCTGTGTTCCTTCAAAGATTTTATGTTGGCACTCGTTGAACAACTGGAATCCCCTAATGATGATATGCGACAAGTAAGTATTGTTTTCTTTAGAAATAGGTATATTCAGAAAAAAAAATCAGAAGAAAATGAAGCGTTCCGTTCATTACATTAATTAATAAAACTTTGTATTGAAAATAATTTATTTTACTTCCTTACTTTCAGGTTACAGCTGCTGTACTAAGAAACCTGTCTTGGCGAGCAGATACCAATAGTAAGCAAGTATTGAGAGAAGTTGGAGCCGTAAAGGGCCTGACCAAAGCCGCGATGACCTGCCAAAAAGAGGCGACACTCAAGTCCGTACTATCTGCTCTCTGGAACTTGACCGCCCACTGCTCCATGAACAAAGTCGCTCTATGTTCCGTCGACGGAGCCTTAGGGTTTCTCGTAGATATGCTCAGCTATAACTCCCCGACAAAAACCCTAGCGATTGTGGAGAATGCAGGAGGTATAATGAGGAATGTGTCGAGTCACATCGCCGTCCGCGAAGATTACAGGCAAATTCTCCGCGAGAGAAATTGTTTGAGTGTCTTACTGCAACACCTCAAGTCTCCCAGTCTGACAGTCGTCAGCAACTCGTGCGGCACCCTGTGGAACCTCTCGGCTCGATGCCACCAAGACCAACAGTTCCTTTGGGACCACGGCGCCGTACCCATGCTCAGAAGTCTTATTCATTCCAAACACAAAATGATTGCAATGGGCTCCAGCGCAGCTCTGAAGAATCTTCTCAATTCGAAACCTGGCAAATCTCACATAATCGCCCTAGACACTACTGCCAGAAACATGAACTTACCCGCATTGCCCACTCTCGGCGCTCGGAAACAAAAGGCGTTAGAACAAGAGTTGGATCAAAATTTGGCCGAGACCTGCGATAACATCGAACCGGCCACATCCCCCTCGACTAGTAACAGAGAAGAAAAGAACCTATTCACAGCGACAGAAAGACAGATCGCTATGAACTTAGAAAGACATAGAATGACATCTAGTTCTCCGCTCATGGGAAATCTGGCGTCGCAGATATCCCTCAGCCACAGTGCTCACTTGGCGAGCTACCTCAGTTGCAGTAACACTCTTTTAAAAGGCGCTCTGGTGACAAGATCGAACACAGGCAGTGCCGGCAATGTCAATAGGTCCGACAGTAAGGACTCCGTCACCAGCACACATTCTGACTCCGTTTTCGAGAGGGTCACGCGCACAGGCAAGGTGCCAGTGCCCACGCCGCGGAGCAAAGACTTGATGAGAATGGAACCTTCAGGCGAAGCGTTTAAGGCGGCTTCGAAAACGCTACCCAAGGACAACACCTTCCTCCGGTACAATCAACCTCCTATACCACCACCCAGGAGTTCAACAGACATGAGAACCAATTACACGGAATCTGGTTACGACGTCGACCAAGATTCCTGCGACCAACCCATAGATTATAGCAGAAAGTACTCGGAGACTAAAAACAACGAAGCCGAAACTCCTCCAACGCAAGAAAAATCCAAGAGCTCCGACACCAAGAAGTATAAAA